TGCTGTCTTTAATGCTAAATTATTTGTTTAAATTTTTTTATAGTAGGTACTCATAGATATAGTCTCTTTAATATTTCAAAATACCCCCGCCGCAGCAAACCTGCAGACTAAGCGAATTTCCATTTGACTGATTGGATTTACACTGAAATGTCTACTTAAAAATATAACATTTATTCCCGATTTAAATAGAATTAGTTTAAAAAGTACTTAGGTTTGCTGCATCAGGGAGGGTAAAACTGTTTTTTTTTTTGTAAAATGTTAATAGTTAGTAAAGAAATAAAAAAATTTCCAAATTTGATCAAAATATGTTCATAAACAAGTAAACTACAACAGTTTATTTATTCTCCATAAGATAAGTAAATTTTAAATTTACAATTTGTTGGAATTTTCTCCGTAACAATTAGGCGCATAATAACGCTTCAATATACTAAATTATTTGTTTTTTTAAGCTCTACAAATTGGTTTAGAAAAAAATTGCAAAATTTTATGTTTTTTGAGTCAAAAATGGGAAAAACCTATTTTTACCCCATAAAACCCCCCATAAACCCCCGTTCCCATGGTCCAGTCATGATGGATCGCGAACTCGTTCAAATAAACGTAGGTTTACACGTTTGTACCAAATTTCATCAAAATCGGATCATTTTTGCTCGAGTTATCGTGCTAACGGACACACATATATATATATATATATATATATATATATATATAAATAAATAAATAAATAAATAAATATATATATATATATATATATATGAATTTGAACAAATGGTGTTTTTGGCCTCTAGGGACCTCAAAACAAACAAAAAATCGGTCCCGTGTCCAGGTCTTACCATGAGTACTACGGTAATAGCTTATTCCCTATATGGGAAATTCGCTAAAAACAGTATTGATAAGGCACAGCAATATTTCTAAAGTTTATAACAGCTGACTTAGTTTTGCTAATGATTTATTGTGAGTGAAGAAACTGAAGATGGAAGGATTTGTGATTTAATTTAAAGAAGAATGCAAATTTAAAAAAATGTTCTTTTAAATTTAATAATTAGTATTTTTATTTTTGCAACTTCAAAATTGAAATTTAAAATGGCAATAATAAATCAAAAGATATGTAAGATGAAGGTAAATCATATAGGCCTATGTCAATGTTTTATTCGAAGATTATTTGGTAATTTTTTCTCATATCAGCCTACACAAGATTTAAAATTAATCAAAACCAAAATAGTGGTATCCCCTACTTACCAGATTTAAAAGTCATATAACTTAAACGTTTCTATTAAGGCTATAAAAGTTGAATTTTGTTTCTAAAAGCGTTGGCGGATGTGTAACTATTACATGCAACAGATGTAAAGATTAAAATGTTTCTATTTTGTGTCCTCTTCCCGTTGCAAAGCACGGGTACTACAGCTAGTCTCTTATAGTTTTCGAATAAAACGGCTGGCACACTTATATCAATCACCCTGTATATAGGCCTAGATATAGGCTATATTAATGTTTTAAGTAAGTAAGCGAACATGTGAAGCTTTCAGCATCCAATTAACGTTTTTAAAACAGTTAAAACATCGTAGTGCGGTGATAAATATTTGTCAATCCTACTCAATTGACTCGGAACACTGCAGTTTCTGATTTAATTAAGGGTATAACTTTCTGATTTAATTAAGAGTATCATTTAAAGTACTTTAAAAGTACCCGTGCTGTAACCAATTAAACAAGGTAACGAATAGGATAGATACAAGGATAGGTACAACTAGACTATATGGACGCCAACTCAACTACACCTAGGTACAACTAGTCGTAGGCAACTGTCGTAGAACTAAACGTAGGTACAACCATGTACAACTAGTCGTAGGTACAACTAGTCGTAGGTACAACTAGACGTAGGTACATAGTACAAGCTAGGTGAAACTACTTGTCGGTGGCATACACGTCTAGTTGTACCTCTTAAAAATCTGCAGGTACAACTTGTCGGGTATGCCACCGTCTACATGTACCTACGTCTAATTAAATTAGACCTATTCTGACGTTTAAGTTGTATTGAAGACAGTTAAAGAACAAAAATGAACGTTAGTAAATTGAGTCTCCGCCTTAGTGTGCCACTGACAAGTACGGTTTTTAATCTCATACACCAACTTATTAACCATGCGACGGTTAAAGTGCTACTGTATACGACACTACACCTTCTTGTATGTCCCTATAGACTATCACTATAGCCAAGAGAATAAAGTATTACTCCGATAGTAATTTTTGACAATAGCTATTTTTGTGGGACTTACAGCTTATACATTGGACTTGCAGCTTTTCGTGAAGGAAAAACAGACATGCTCCTCAATTCTCTATAAAAGTATGGATACAGTTAGTTTTAATTATTTATGAGACAAAGTATTACGTCTGTTAAAATCCACGAACGGTGTGCCCACTATTGTCATGCGCCCTCCAATACTTATGTATTAAACTTAGTGCACAAAAGAAGCCTATTTACATGAACCAACCGTATTCAAAGTAACCATCATAACACACTAATGATGCTCGGATACGGATTTTAGTCCACAAAACGTAGTCTCGCCATACTCATAATGGTCTCAAATTAAAATACTGCAGAGTTATATGTTATAGAAACATATAACATAGGTAAATAACATATAGGTAAACGTGCACCTTTGGATATTGTCACTTTATTGTTCTACAATAATCATCAACTAAGAAGTACTCACAACTTATCCCGTAATATCACGAATACTAGTGTGCGTCGTAATATCAATAGACAAGCTATTGTTTATCTCAAACCAGGCTATTATAAACTAGATTTGGCAACAAGTTGGCAGGTTTATCCAGATAAATCTATTACCCAGCACGTCAAGTCCCATGCACCCCATGTTAACTGTTGTGGGTGTAATGTGATTTGTCTGTGTGTGTGTTGCTGGTGGCACTGGCACATGCGCCCTGTGGTGCGGCGCCCCGTGTATGCGCCTCAACAGTTGACCGCCACCGCTGCTCCGGCGCGCGTTCTTCCGTTACTGCGCGCTTTTATATAACTTCGCATAGAGGAATTTACGATCTCTGTGTCCAATAAACTAGGAAAAGGTATTCAGAATAAATATCTTTGTTTACGTAATGTAGTATTTTTATCATAGTTTACAGGTATTCTAATTCAATTTTAATGTTAATGGATCAGTTTAGTTTAGGAATACTTATACTGTAAATTGTTCAAAGGTGTACTACTGTTACTGTATTATATGACAGAAGACAGATGTACCATTGTTTTAGAACAATGTGTGTAAATCGAGTCAGCGCTATTTTGTGGTGTGGCTTTTTACAGCATGTTATTAAAAAATCTATATAGATAACATGTTATGGAAATTCCATAACATATCAATATCGAGATTTCTACGTTATGTTTCCACGGGTTCTTTCTGAAATTTACTAAAAAAGGCATTAAAAAAAGGTTTTAAAAAGCAGATTAATCATTTAAGAATTTAAAATAGTTGAAACAACCGTGTTTTGGTAAATACTGTAAAAACTAGTTAAGCACCTGTAATTCGATTGATACCTTTTTAGTAACTGGAGAGAAACGTTGGAACATTTAAAATTTCCATACTCTCTTGAACTTTCTTCATGCTTAGTGAAACTACATAAAATGAGAATCTGGATTTGAAAGTCACTTTCCTTTACACAATACATACACGATCCTTGTTAACTGCATTGTAAACATTGGTAAAACCGTGATGTTGATTTAAAAAATAGATATACTGTATATATATATATATATATATATCGTTTGGGTATTTTCCTTACTTATTGCAATGAACTGAACACATAAGAAAAACCTGATTTATTTTCTATTTTCTCATGAATGGAATGCACTGCAATATTGAGATTTTAAATCACGCCTACGTACATGGCAAAGATTTGCCGAAAACACCATGCTATTTTCAAAGGCAGTAAACTCACATGTTTACTAGCCTGTTCTACGGACGGGGATCTTGTAGTCAGTTGAAACCTTCTTAGATTCGGAACAGAAGTTGATTTGCATATTTAGTATGCATTTTTTCAGATATGCTGGCAAAATTATGTGAATCTTCATCTATCTTCTATCTATCTATCTATAATAGAGAGTAAATATCTGTTCTGTCACACGAAATTTTGAGGAAAAACACTGTCTCTTCTGGCACAGAGATTTTTGTTCCAAAAGGCGAGTGCTGGCTGAAGCTGGGAGGTAAGAGTTCCGCTGGCGAGGCTCGAGTAGTGCAGCGTCGCGTCCAGCTGGTGTCTAGTAGCCTCTTCATTTCTTTTTTGTTAAATAATGGAATAACTGCAATTATATATTCCCAATTTCACAAGTAAAAAACCAAATGTGAGACCACTTTCAAAAAATTTAAACCATCGAATGCAGGTATATGAATCAATCTGTTTTTCATCAACATGTGCTAGACACTGCGTCTGTCTTACATACCTCAGAAATTTTAAAGCCAAAGGGGCAAAGACCACGGTCAGTATAGAAGTGTGAATAGTCCTATAATGGTCCTTGGTATGGTAGCTATATTTTTGTAAAATTGAAGCCCAGTCAACTCAGTAGTTTATGCACCTATTAGTAACACACATACAGGCAGACACCACTAGATTTTTATATAATGGTATAGATAACATCAACAAATAAAAGCAAACAAAGACAAACAACAAACTATATTTTACACAAAAGATGTTGTACTGGGATATATATCCTGACCCATTGATAATTTGATTATGAGTTTGTTTAAATATTGCCATACTTTGTTTTACATTTGAGCTTTTTAGGGACTTATGTCCCTACAAGCCACTAGTCTATACATTAATTATGTAAGACAATTCTTTGCGTCAAAATTGTGGGCGACTGGGAAGTCGTAGAATGACGGGAGGAGGCTCAAATTAAAGGTCTTGATCCTGTGACAGCGGGAAAAATAGTGAAATACTAGTCACTTATCTTAAAATAGTCTTAGTTATTATCTTAAACACAAAATTAGATATAACGTAAAATGTTCTCTAATAAGAATAGCGTTAGAAAGCATTTACTGCTGATTGTTTTTTACTTCAATACAGCTGATAGTGATTTATCATAGTGATTTAGGGCACTGCACTGCCTAGCGGGGAGCGGCAGTCAACTCGCGAACCTCCTAGCTCCTCCCACCCCTTCCCCTCCAACTGGGTTGAACCGACACGGCGCAGTCTGGCGGACACTTCGAACATCGTTCTGAGATTTCCGAGCTAAGGTAGAGCCCACCCTTAAGCAAGTAAGCAATATTACATTTGGATTACTCATTTGCCAGTCAATTCTGCAATGTAATGTATACTATAAAAAAGGGATAACGTTACCCATAATAATCAAGACTTTTTAGTTATGTCAAAGTTGAAATAAATTGTTTTCAAGATTAAAGAAACGATTCAAGATTAAATGAAGATCTTCTTTGTTTTGATTTCAAAACATATGTTAATGATTTCTTCCACACTTTTTTGTAAATTTACTAAAATTTATATTTGAGATTTATTGTAGTGTTTAATCAATATTTTGTATCAAGTGGAATAACCTCAACGGTTACTCTTAGAAAACAATTTGGGGATAAAGATGAAGTTGGTTCGTACAGATATTTGTTCATTAAGTACTTAAGTACTTTGTTGCTCCAAGCAAAAAAGGTTCAAACAATATAGCCTAGCATGCACGGTAGTAAAGGGAGCACCTGTATATAACAGTAGAACATAGAGGTAATTTCCGTTTCTTAAAACTAACCAAAAATATTTATGTCGTGATTAGTTTCGATAACTGGGTAATGGAACCCTAACCAGTCGCAAAATAGTTAGTAATTAGACGTTGATTAGGCCCTTTTTTGGTAGAATATGTAAATCAATCGCACCTTTAGGAGGATTACCACCACATATACTTACACTAGGCTAATAGTGGTTTTTTTTTATGTTGATCAGAAACAAATTTAGAGTTAAGTTCTGTCAATGGGATGCCTACTAATTTTGTTAAACCTTTACAAAATGAGCATACACTTAGAAATAATAACTTGGGTAGGGCAGGGATGCTTTTAGCGGTTTTGACCAAGAACTAGAAGTTTATCTCAACACAAAATTTTTTGCCTTTTCTTATTTGACGAAGACAATTTCCAATGCTGTATTCAATCGGGGAAGCCTTTTTATCATCATTGACCAAAAAACCAAAGCTACCTTAATAAACCAATATCTATTCATAAACATGTTTGCTGCCTTTAGCAGTTAAACTAACGATGTAAATAACTGAGTTGTTTATATCGTTGAGTTAAACCTCTGGAATCATTCAAATTCTTTATTGAAAATAACATTGACAAAAGCAAACAAAGACAAACAATTTATTCCGGTTAAAATTGTATTAGCAAAGGTGCTCTTGTCTTTCCACGAAACACAGATAAATATAACTCAATAGCTCAATAACTCCTTTATTCAACTAAAGTAACAAAAACAGATTTGCATTAGTCATGTCAACCAAATACATCTTTACGTCTATAAATTGAAATAAAACAATTATTCTTAAATCTAACAAGATTAATGAGTCTCAAGCCCCCTCAAACTTAACTAAACGCATCAGCGACACACTCACGAACACTGTAGCAACTCTTGGCCAGGAGTAATTTTTTTTACTTGCCTTTTGAAGCAGACCAAGTCCGGCTCCAGCTGAAGGCAGTGAGGAAGTAGATTGAAAAGTTTAATGTCGTTGTAATGGAAGTGTCTCTTAAAGAATGACGTTGAGTGAGATGGTAATTTGAGATGTGAATTGTTACGTAGTGAATATGAATGAGTAGGTAAAGTTTGATATTGGTGAAGGTTCTTTTTGATGAGAATCAATGTTTCCAAAATGTATATTTAGGGAAATGTTAAAATTTGTGATGAAGCAAAGTACTGTGTGCAAGATGTTCTTCTATTCAAACCAAAGATTATCCTGACTGTCTTCTTCTGAAGCCGGAAGAGGAAAGACGATTTCCCACACATGTATAAGGACATTAATGCGTTACCTACAGACATACACACAAAAAAACAGAATTGAATTAGGACATTTGCTACGCTTTAACCAAAGCAAAGTAGGCCTACATATAAAATGATTATTTGAAATCTTTGTTAGTGTCATCAAATTTTATCATATCGTATTTACTTAACGTGGAATGATAATGCCATCTGTAACAATTTATATTTGCTTAATCCGAAGATGACCCGAAATTGTGTCGAAATGATGTGAAATGAATTACTAAAGACGATTTAAATCGGTAATTTACACGAATTAGAACAGAAACCGGAATTGTTCATAAACATGAACAAATGACGTAACTGGCTGATGCTATTGTTACTATTAACATATTGCATTAAAATATGGTTTAGAAAGTTTCATTTGGGCAATCAATATTAAATAATGTTAACTTTTGGGCCAGTAAAATCATGATCCATACTAGTAGTTTGGGTCTGTTCTAGTATTCGTGGGTAATTTACAATACACAGGCCACAAACTATTGATACGTAAACAACGTAAAGCGTAAACAATTCATGATGGTTTGCTCAAAACATGTTTTATTCAAATGTGTTATCATTTTCATAGCATAAACTAACATTTTAGAATCCAGACAGAAAACTCAAAACTTATCAGCAAAGCATCAATTAAATTTAATACGATTACATTACCAAAAACCAACGTTCATAGTTAGTTAAGAACTACTGTATTAGTACTTCCAACCAACTAAATGCGTTAATCAAGTCACAAGGTTATTAATCTCCCTTGGTTTTGGATTTTCTCAAAAAATGTTACCGGAAATCAAAGTTATTTTCCATTGCATTATTTGTAAACACCTTTTAATGTAAACATATCGGTGACAGTTTGAAGAAACAACCTTTATCCGGACAGCATTATGATGTATTCTCTAAACGATGATTGGTATAATCTAGTAATCATTAGGAGGAAATGTGACAAAATCTCACACAATTGGGGGTTTTGGACGTTTGTAATTTTATTTCCTGAGTGATATTCTACAGAAAAGTACCGGTATCAAGAATCGTCGTCGAAATGTGGTGATGAATAATTGGGTAGGCATACGTACCCAAGATATGGGTACGTATGCCTAATGGGCTACGGGCCTATTGGTATGGTCCAGCAATAAATTGTAGTACATTATAGCGGTGAGTGGAAAACGAAAAAAAGTGACACTTTAGAAAAGCAAGTTTAGCAGCATCCGTAAACCTCTGTTACGATCAAAACCGAAATAGAAAAGATCTTCTGAGATCACATCAACATCTATCATCTATCATCACCCACTGCAGTTGTGATTATTCACAATTTACACAACTGTCATTGAAGCGCCGTCAATGAGTGGAAACCTTGTTTTTAAGCTTGTTGTGCCTTGGTGACGATGATTTAAAAAATGTAAGTTTCCCAGCCCTATACAACACTGATTCACGGTCTTTTCCCCCACAATCAAAACTCAAGTACAACTTGTTAGTTGTTACACACAGACTCCCCGGTTCCTGGATGATGCCTAGTTATTTAATTTAATTTACGGTTACACATTATTGTTTTTGCGATGAATTAAATCCGTTATGTAAGGCACAACGTTTTTAATCTCACTGGGTTTGGATTTGATTACAAAATGTGACGTAACTTTATTTATATAGATTATATAGGAATAGTAAGACTATGCAAATGATGATAGTTAATCCATAAAAAATCTGATGTTAGGTATTAATATTTAACTAGAGCTTTGTTAGTTGCTGCTCCACAGCGTTAAAATAAATATCTTATCCAAGAAATAATCAAATTTATGATTTTTTATTGAGTAATACAGTATCTTGAACTTAAGTGATTCAATAGCTCAAATTAAAGCCTATAATTTACTGATAGTTTTGAGTCTAAAACAAATAAAAAAACATTAATAATACTGGAGCTATTGATTTTTAATTTCTCCCACAATACATATAGTACAGGTAAAATAAGGTTTTATAAACAACAAAATTTGTACATTCATGAAATTTCACCTATGAGTTGTTAATAGTATAAGAAATGAAGATCCGATGAGTCCCCAAAATTTTGCGTGTGCTAAGGCCCTTTTTGGGGCCCATTTGTTCGAAGGGGTAAAATTCCTAAATAATTTAGTTTTTTACGTTTAAGGTCGAGTGAGGTATGGTTTTCAATGGTTTTAGATACTTTAAAACGATTGGGACTAGTTTTAAGTGCATTAAACCACTACATACAGGGTGTTCAACAAATATTATTACTTTTTTACGATCTTTAAACATTTATTCATAAATTAATAAAATTAGGTACAACATTATTGAAAATAACTGTGAATTTTTCACTACGAGGGCTTTCATCAATGCACAATACAAACATATACCTTTAAAACTCTGTGTAATATAATCTCTACCTGTCATTAGACTCTAAAGATTTAGTTTTGCTTAAACATTGTATGCAGTCATCCTGCAATGTTTTTTTTATATTAAGTTTCTTTGTGTTGGCTAAACTGATTAGCAGCTGATTTTAACTCAGCTGATTTTAAGCTGATTTGTATTCATCATTGTTATTTGTTTACTAATTGATTTTATGATGGTTCAGATTTGGTGTAGTTTTTCTTGGTTTTTATAATTATTTATGTTTTAAAAAATAGGCTTTTACATATTTGTCTAGGCATGTTTTAGCTTTACAATGGAAAGTGACGCTGAAGAAGATAGTACTGCCACGGATTCGGATATTAATTGTTTTATTTGTGGAACATTAGTTTCTTGTGACAAAGTTATACCAGGGAAAGAAGCCTTGGATACAATTAGGCGTTGTAGTGAAGAAAGAGGAGATGGAAAGCACCTGCTTCTAACAGGTGAATGTAGCATTGTAGTTCATCGTACTTGTAGAAAGTCTTACACAAAACCCTCATCTGTACAGCGAGAGAAAAGAAAGACTACAATAACAACCAGTGACTATTCACCTAAAAAACTGAGGTCTGAAGGAAATTTAGATTTTTCAAATACCTGTTTTATTTGTTCAGAGGAAGTTTCACGAAGAGATAGACAAAATATCGGAAATGCACGAACGGTGATTAGTAAAGAGTTTAAAGAAAAGGTTGAGCATCAGTCACTAATTAGAGGTGACTCATGGGGGCGGCAAGTTCTAAGCCGAATTTGTACTGTAGATTTAGAGAGAGAGGGAGCTGTATACCATTTCTCTTGCTGGGTGAAGTTTTACAGGGAGGAAGAAGGTTCCTCAACACAATTTGGTCGAAAACCT